GTATTTTTACAGTCTTTATTTTACAGTTAAAATATATGTTTATTAAATAAAGTCTAATGTTACAACTAATCAGGGATCCCTTTAAATGTTCTGGGTCTTAAATGACGTATTTATTTACATTTAAGGAAACGGTCTAATAAAGGTTGCTTGTTTGGAGTTCATCAGTATTTAGATCCTCTTCTCACTAAAATAAATAAATTTATTTATTTACACTCGTTCTGTTATTTTTACCATCTGCAGATTTTGCTCGACACCTCTTTACTCGTCTCCTGATGACACGAGAGGCGTGTCCTCAGGACTCAGATGTCCCGAGGAGAGGACGAGACGATCCCCGTCTGTGGACAGCCGTTCTTTAGACGGCTCTCTGAAGCGAGCGATCCGAGCGGCCCGACACATGAAGCACACCTCCGGACACATGGCTCGCTCTCTGGCGTCGGGGCTGCAGGACCGGGACCGGGTCTCTCAGTCCTGCAGCTACTAGGTCCAAACACAGAACTGAGCTCTGGACCAGATTAATAAAAAATCTTTGTAAATTTTTGATAGTTTTCTATATTTTTAAAATCTAATTTTTGTTTTTTACTCTCCAAGTCATAGTGGATTGATGACTTTTAATGTTTACATCAAAAGATGTGGTGAAACACTGTAGATCATATTGATGTTAATGTAGTTGACTTCATTTAACTTTTAATGTTAGTTTTACATAAAATAACTGATCATCTTCTTTTTAAATTGTTTGCAAAACACTGATTATGTTTGTTTTTTCAGGTAACCTTTTATTTGTTCATATCAGACTCAATAAAAGAGTGAAATAAAAAAATACACTTTTTCACATTTTTACAGCAAGACAAGAAATGAGTCTTTCATATAATGGAAGCTAATTTATTAGACAGTCTTTTACATATCAGGTTCACATGGAAGTACTGTTTGTGCTTCGACACTCGCAAACATACAATCCCAATATGTAAGACAGCGGTAGGACAGACGGTTTCTGATAAATAAATAAAAATCAACTTATTTGGCAGAATAAACCCTTTACAACAGCAAATTATAACAAAAAGTAAACAAACTCAAGTGTTTGCATCACACAAATGCATTATAGTGCAATAAACAACTGGTTTGGCCAGGAAAAAGGCAAAATAGGAAACTTTTTTTTCTTGCAAAGCCATTCACCGTTGGGGTGAGGGGGTTACATCGCACCAGAGGAGAAAACCGTCAAAGAAAAATATAAATATTTACTTGGTTGACCACTAAACGGCTACAGCTAAACATCACAAACACGGTGGCTTCACGTTAGCGTTTTAAAAGAAAAGTTTCACTACTGCACAGTTTAAAAAAAGTCACCATCAAACAGTAAGACACTAAAACAGCAACATATACACAACACTATTCAGTGCATGGCCCAAAAAACATTACTAACCAACGATAAGACCTTAATCTGACAGATTATAATACTGAAATACAACCGGACCTTGTGCAGAATTCAACATCAGCAAGCCTTTTTAACAGGAAAACTTCATTTTCTATCTTTTTTTTAAGGTTGATGCAGGAAAATACAACAGAGGGCAGTCAAAGGAGGGATTATTTTATCTTACATGTAACTCTTTAAATTTAGGTTTAAATTTTCCTTCTTTTCAAGCATTTCTTTCTTTCTTTATTTTTTGGGTGAAAGCTTAAGCCAAGAACTTGTTTTAAGTATCATGTGTAAAGTGGCAACAGTTGATTAAAATTTAAATAAACTATCAATATATCTCTTGAATTAACATCTGTAAACATTTAAATAATTTTAATCCATGTTATGTTTAACATTCTCCAAACAGTAACATTTTAACAATATGGCTAAAGGAACTTAGCGTGACTAGCTTAGTTAGCTAGCTAGTTATCAGCTAACTATCTTTGCTAATGCCAGTTAGCAAACAAATTAAATTTCTAAATAAAAGTATAACTGATTTTAACTAAGTTGTTAAAGTTTAAAATATTTTTGATACTTAAAAACAAAGTTGGTAGGAAAAAAAAACAGCGAGCGGCTATTTTAGTTAGCTAGCAGCTAACTAGCTATTTCTGTTAATGCCAGTCATCGAATGAATTATATTTTTAAATAAAAATATGGCTGATTTTAATATAACTGAATTGTTAAAATGTTTTTAAAAAATTATGCTTAAAACCAAAGTTGTAAGATGAAAAAAGAAGCTAGCTTAGTTAGCTAGCTTGTACCTAACTAGCTATTTTTGTTAATGTCAGGTAGCAAACAAAGTTTTGCAAAAATAAATACAATATCAGTCATTTTAACATGACTGAACTGTTAAAACAAAACTTCATATTTTTTTATTTGATTCTTAAGACTAAAGTTGGTGGAAAAAGAAAAAAAGACGCAGGTGACTAGCTTAGTTAGCTAGCAGCTAACTAGCTATTATTGCTAATGCCAGCAAATAAGCTACATTTCAAAACAAAAACATGGCTGATTTTAACATGACAACCAAGTTGTTAAACAGTTTCAAAGCKTTTATTTTTAATTTGATACTTAAAACCGAAGTTGTTGGTGAAAAATTCATCTTTTAGCGTCTCATTAGCCTAGCGCTAACTCTGCCTCACTCAACACCCGCCCTCGATACAGACACATGGTGCACACAAGTCCAAAGCATGCTACTAAATACAAACATCTCAATGGGTGGAGAGCGCTCCTCTCTGATGGAAATATATGTTTTCATATTTTATATTGCATGTATATTTTACAGTGTGAACCTCTAAAAGTGCACACCCCCCCTCTTCCACCTGCTTACAGTAAAACTTACACCAGAGAGGTAAGCCAAAGGGACAAAATGTCTACCTTTTTGCACATTTTAGGATTTATAATCCGCAAACAATGTAATCTCTCTGATATTTAACATCTTTAAATAAGTTTTGTTTGATTCCATTGTAAAACATGAATACTTGCAACATTTTATTCTTTGATATATATATTTTTTAAATCTTCTCAGATATCTTTTTCCCCCCCTCAAGCACGATGCATACACGTGATGGACTGGGTTTGGTTGGGGAGGATGGAGGGTGAGAGGAGTGATGCAATCGAAGGGTTTTAGCTCGTCACTTCCTCGTCTGGTTTGTTCATGGCCTTCAGCTGCTCCAGCAGGCTGGTGGGAGTGAAGATTTGGGTCGATCCTGAAGACACACACACACACGACACGCGCACAATCTCAGTGTTAGACCTGCACGTTGTTGATGAAACAGTTTAAAAAAATAAAACTTTTTTTGGATGAATGCCTACTGTAGATGATGGCAGCCTTAATGTTAAAAGAAAAGATAGAAGCCCAAAGTTATAAAATTATAATCAGTTAGTCAGCAGGTTAATAATGAGTCATGTTTAAAAGATTCTTTAAAAAACACTAAACGTGAGAAGTGTTTTTTACTGTATTTTTAATGTATGACTTTAGAAAACCTCTTATTTTTCCAATGACAAACCAGGTGAAATGTAGATTCTAGACGTAGAGTTTTTATCTTTGTGGGTGGATTTTTAAACGTGGCCTATGTGGTGGATCCAAACCTGGAAGTTATCCAAACCGCACAGGTGGGACTTGCATGCATTAACGTGCACACACAGCCGGACCGTCTACCACAACACCGAACACACAACCAGGAAGTACAGGACACAACACATCTACACCCCTATATCTGTGCCTACTTCCTGGATTCAGTCTGGGTCCAAATGAGGTGCTCTTCAAATGATCAGCACAAACTTAAATGTTAAACATGTCCAAGGTGCGCCTAGATTAAGATGGATAAAATACTTATAATTTAAAGGAACGGAAGACCTGATCCGTACAAAACCATTTCCAGTGGTGGGCGTGGTTTCGCTAACAGATAATAACAAAACTAATGTTTCGTTTAGCAAATTAGCTTTTTCACTAGCTTTGAAAACTTACAGGACCAATTATCTTCCTGCTAACTTTAAGTCTGCTAACAGCTACCTAACAAGCTAACAACAGGTTTGTGTCCGTCCCATCAGTCTTCAGCTTGAAGGAGACAAAAACAGAGTGTCGTCTTAGCGGTTAGCTGTTAGTGTTAGCTTCTGCTCATTTTTACTTGTTTAGCGTTAGCCTCCTATTATTCTTTTTACAAGTTTAGCATTAGTGAAGCTGTATTTTTAGTTAGCGGATTATGACGTAGCAAAGCTAGCGTTTTGGTTAGCTGTGCCCACCATTGCCTTCTTGGCTGGCTAAAGCAACAGCTAGTAATTAGCTAGTAAGCTAACGGTTAGCTAGTTAGCCTGGTTGTTAAAACATTTTGGCATAACTGAGTTCTAGGGATTCTTTGTAGGCAATTGGGGAGAAACATGCTTGTGTCGACCCGCAATGGGGTCCCAAAACATCAAGRTAGGGTCCTGAAAAGATTTTCTGAATTAATTATATTAGAAAATAAGAACTAGCATTTTTTTTTGCCTTTGTTGTTACAAAGCAGTAAGGTTAGTGTACCTAAAATGGACAAAAATAGCATAATGAATATTGTTACTTTGCTTTTATTTATTTTTTTGATGTGAAAACTATATATATGATCCAACAACAATGGAGGGCTCAGATATCTGCTGCTGCCATTTTGAGGGTCGAAGGCTGAAAAGTTTGGGAACCACTGGTCTAGAAGATGAAGACATTTGGATTAAAGGCATTTTAACCATTTTAATCAAAACACTGGATATTCAAGCCCAATGTGGAAATTTAGTAGCATTTTGTTTTAACAGAAAAATAAATTAGGATCTGGTGAAGACCAAAACAAACTGACCCCTTAACTGACGCACGTTAAGGCGTCCATATTGGAGGGGGTGACTCAGGTCCCAGAATAAAAATAAAGGCTGTGTTCAAAACGACAGGCCGGGTCCTCCGGAGGACCCAGACTACCCGGTCGCTGTGGGCCGGGTCCTTGGTAGACCGGGAAGACCGGAAAAAAAGAGGCTGTGAATTTGGACGGTCTAGCCTCCCCTCCATCCCGGCGTACGTCATGTCACCTAGCAACTGTAACGACGCTAAACAAGCAAACTTAAATCAAAATTAGAAAAATATCAATACATTAGTATTATTAATATCAAAAAACTATAAAATTAACTTAAAAGTATCATTTGAAGAACTAATTGACCCGCTGTAGGTTCATGTGTATTTCACGTTTTTTATGACGAAAAAAAATATTTAAAAACATGTCCATACAAATGATAAAAGTATTAGAATTACAACCGCTAAWTTTTTTTAATTTTTATATCACCATATTTTTATTTAAAATGTATTCTTTTCTCTCGCTTCGTCCACCATTACTAGCATAAAAAAATCTCGGTCGGGCCGCAATGCATTATGGGATATGCTGGGCCGGGAAGGATCCATCAGACCTGTCCTTCGATTCGGGCCAAAGGAAGGACGTATTTGTCGGCCGCATCGGAGGAGTCTTCGGTTTTGGACGTCCTTCGTCGCGGCGCTGTGACGTATGTGGCCGACGAATTCGACCTTCGGAGGACCCRGCCTGTCGTTTTGGACACAGCCATTGTCTCAAATTGGGTCCAAATCCAGCAGTGGGCACAGTTCTGCTGATATGCTAATAGCGAAGCTAACTTTTAGTTTAGCGAATATGTGTTTTTGATAACTTTGGAAACCTTTAGTGCAGTGATTTCCAACCAGGGGTACGTGAACATATTACGGGCGGGTGCGTGGAAAAATTTCCCAGGATTGAGATATGTAGGTCCCTATGATTTCTGCAATGCAGAAAATGCACAGAATCGTGGAATTGACAAAACAAAATGGAATCCAGTATAAAATGCAGAATTTTATGGAACTTGCTCATTTGGGTGAGTTTCTGATGTATTTGGGACGTTTCCTCTACCTGCCGTTACCTGGCTTGTTTATTTAMTTATTCACTTTCAAGGCAACATATTTATCTTTGTYTAATTCAAGTTGAAATTAACAAAATGCCTGAGAATTAAATGTTCCAAGGGTTTAAATAAAAAATTTTCATTTAATAATCAGTTGTTGTACATTATAGTCTTGGAGAATCATCATTACGTCTGACTGAGGGGGTACTAGCGGTATGACAAAACGGCTCAGCGGGGTACACAAGTCTAAAAAGTTTAGGAACCACTGCTTTAGTGGACCAAATGGCTTCCACTAAATTTAGTTCAGCTAACTGCAGCGCTGCACACCTGTGTCGTGTGTAGCATCTTTAGCGTTTTTTCTGTTTGGTGGACGTAGGAATGTTTTTATGAGCTTTTAGCCAAGATTCTGATGTTTTTGTGGAAAACAAACATCTATGCTTAAATGACAAGCCTCGGGTTAGAGGTTAGCAGTTAGCTTCCACTAATTTTCTTACCAATTAGCATTTTCAAAGCTAATTGTGCTAGCAAAGCTTTTGGTTAGCTGTGCCCATCTCCGTCAATATCCATCCGGATTTTTTTATTTAATAACTTTGTCCAACTAGAGTTAGCCTAGTCCCAGAGGTACTCAGAACTTTTATCATGTTTTGAATGTACATAATTTCTTTTTTTTTTAATAATGGCAACTTTACGTCCATGTTATTTTGTTTTCTTTGTAAATGTAATATGAAAACCATCACGGAGATCTTGCTGGAATCGTAGAAGAATATCAAAAATAGGTTTTAGTTGTTTTGCGACATGAAATAACTAACTTTAAAGTCAGACTTTTCAGTGTAATGTGAGCAGTGATTTTCAGGGATGATAAATATATTAAAGCTCTAGTTGGTGGGAGTGTAGTTGCTTTTCCCAAACGGACTGAGTGGACTCAGTCAAAAGGCTTTTTTTCTTTTCCTTAAGAGACAATAAAAAAATAAATAAAATAAAATTCTCTCTTAAAATCCAATCTAACACCACTGATCATGAAGGAAACGGGCAAAAGGCTCTAACTACAAAATAATCAGAGTAAAAACTGATAACGATGTTGGGTGGTAGATTAAATCTGGAATGAGTGTGACACAGTCTCAGAGGACCTTCAGGTGGACGTTAAGGTGTGATTTAATCCACCCAGGTTGAGATGGCGAGAAGAGGCAGCAGGGATGGCGCCGCATCTTCCTCGGGCATGGCCGCTAATCWGCGTGGGTCTCATCGAATTTCTACAAATGTTTCGGCTTTTCACCAACAATTATAGTCCTGCAAAATAATCTTATTTTTGATCTTTTTTCTTAAGTCTGATGATGGAGCAGTCCATGCAGTGAGGAAGGATCGGGGGGTCCATCCCTGAGGGACACGGGGAGGAGGAAGGTGAGGTTACATAAAACAGAACTGAGTGTTTGAAGAAGAGGAGGGGAACCAAGAGGAAGCCCTTTATGCTGTAAATGTTCAGAAAGGGCTTCTTTGTGCGGCTGCCTTTACTTTTTTCTGTGATTTCTTTCTCCCTCCCTCCCCATCTGCCTCTGCCTCACTCGTCTGAGGGCTGAGGGTCCTCAAAGGACACCCTAGTGGACTCTCGGAAGTCGGGGTGCTGCAGGTCCGATAAGAATTTGGTTGGGGTGAGCAAGTGGGTGGAACCTGTGGAGGAACAGAGGCGGCTTCACCACTCGTCTCACAGCACATGCGTCGCCC